GAGAAACATGAATTTTTTTAGCTATATTTGTAGAACAACTTTCAATTATCCTTTAAAAAAAAACTGCAGTAAAGAATAGGCAAAGCACTTTGGCTGACAGAAAACTCGATTCAATGGGCAAAAAAAAAAAAAAAAAAATACAAAATTACAATTACTCTGAAACCATCAAGAATGCCACATTAAAGGCTCTACTTTCCAAACAGTAAATTAGTAACAGTAACATTATCTTATTTATTAATAAAAAGAGGAATTAAAATAGCCATTCATAATGAGACGCTGAAAGCTGCAAAGAAGCCAAGAACAGGGAGAAAGAGGTCTGAAAGAGAAGAAAAGGTAACAGCAGCTCTTATAAAGACGAAAAAAAAGTTCTTTGTCTCTGTTACCATTCTGTGGACAGCCTAGAGAACTCAGTTCATTGTTACTGGCTGCCCTTCTCCTTTGCCGGAGCTTTTGTTTTTCACCCTGTCTTTAATTCTCCAAGTAATATTATTAGAGAACAGGAGAGGTTGAAAACCATCAGGAAGATCAAGGAGGGAAAAAACCTAACTAAATGAAACTTGTCCAGAGCGTTTTATTCCCTAGCTTGTGTTTTCTTTTCTTAGGAAAGAAAGGACGATTTTTAAACTAGGAAAGCTGCACACAGACATGACATTAAAAAAGGGTTCTGCACCTTTTTTACATAGTCCTCCAGCTTGGTAACCAGAACCACTTTTTTTTTTTTTTTTTTTTGCTCTAACCTCTTAAGAATCTCTGCTCTATTTGTAATTCCACCAGCTTGTTATTTATTTATTGCAATAGCCTGACAGACCTCCCCTCATCACGACACTGCCCTGAAAAAAAGAAAATATCTGCTAAAACGATGAGGGAACAAAAGCCATCGGCATGAACTGCAAGATGCAAAACAATTGGATTTTTCTCACAGGATCAAAGAGTCAAAAATCATTCTTTCCAGGACTGTGGAACATCAAACATTGGGACTTAAAAGTGTCACCTCAGGAATTAACAAACACCAGCATGTGCATCCAGCCTAAACCACTTTTTGAGACCGAAGATAAATTGGGGGAACCCATCCACATCACAGCGAATGTCATCAAACGGATTTTGAGAAGGCATGCTGACTTGTGGGGACAGCACGCTGCATCTTTTCTGCCCACCAAACATGTGGTTGTCCATGCCGATCAAGTCACCTTCTAGTGTCACCAGGAAGCCACTTGCAGGACAGACCACAGCACAGCCCTGGCTATAATGGACTAAAAATCACTGGCCACAACCAAAGAAAGGTGAGAGTTCTGTTGCTGGAATGTTAAGTGAACATCAACACTGCACTGACTCTCCACCTACAACACTGACCCCCTGCTAAGAGGTCATGTATCTCCAGGGACATGCAGGTAACCAGGAGATGCCTTGTCAATGAGAAAAGTAGGAATCGTTTAGATTACTGACTTTTTCAATAAATGACTTTATTTTTGAAGACTGTGGTGGCAGCTGAGAGAATACAGATCTTCAACTAAGTCATACAGTGAGAACAGATGAGTACTGACTGCATCTACACCAGAATTTTCCCCCCAATTCTGCCAGACTTCAAGCAAAGCTGATAGGAGAATATCCATCCATACGTTCAAAATCAGGTTATGATTCACTTTAGCAAAGGTCCATTTATTTCACTAAGGGATTTACTTCTAAATTCTCACAAATAACATTAGCTCTTTGAATGCATTTCTAATTAAATTAGAATTATAAGCATTTCAAACTAGACTCACCCATCAGAGACAGAATATCTGAACTGCTCTTGTAATTAACACATGTACCCAGGCTAACAGGCCTTGAAATAGGACCCTGCATGGGGATGACACTCCCTTAATCTAATGATGTTGGGCTTTTAGCCCATTGGTTGTCATCTCACGTTTCCTTATGATGCTCCAGCATTTGTAGAACTGTCTTTGATTCCAATAAATGAGTGTAATGCAAACTTAATGCAGAATCACACAGCATTTTCATCAGTAGGTGACTTTAGGGGTCACCTAACAAAATGTCCCTCCAAGGCTCGAGGCCCTGCGGCACATGCGTGATAGACTCACTTAAGTATATCCCCTGACAAGAGATAACTACCTCTGTGTCACTCAACCACAAGGGCACAGGACCGTGCATAGAACAGTTAACACTGACAGATGAACAAGCCAACTTCTACCGTATATAAACAAGGGGACAAGGGGAGATCATATTTTTATCTCAGTCGTCTGTGTTCTGCTGAAACACTAGTTTCCCAACCCTTCCATTGCAAATATTCTAAGTAACTTCACCTGCATTTGAATCCCTTCCATTACACTGTCCTCGGATTTATTATCTAAGTCATACAAATGGCAGCACCGAAAATCCCAAATACTTGTGACAAATTTCTTGTAAATCATCCATCAAGTTAAAACAGCACATTCATTCACCTAAGGAGATAGAGTGTCAGGAGCCTCACGGAGACATAATGGAGAAAAAAACTTTGGATTCCAAGAACACTTTAAAGTTTTGAGTCTGGCATTTTCTACTTGGGAGCAGATCCTGGCTAACAGTTCCACAGACTAATAATTAATCACCAACTATTTGTGGAAGACCTCTTTGGTCTAACACTGGGCTAGTTGTTGTGATGAACAACACACAACAGCTGTGTGAAATAGAAACAACTATGTTGAAATAGAAAAACATATGTATCAGACATGGTTCTTTGCCATCAAAGATCTTCCATCATCCCACTGGGGAGACAAGACTAATGTACAAGGTAAACGAATATAAACTAACATTTGTTATGTGGAATTGAAATAGAAGAGGGATACTTCATGGATTTGCTAATTATACTTCTGTATCATACACATTAGCCCTGAATGGCTCATCCCTGGCTTAACCTGACTTCAAGGATATTTCATCAAGCCCTTTCTTGATTCTTCCACACATTTAGCTGACACCACTTCATAAGCGTGGTTCCTTACAGAACACACTGATTTGGTGGGTCCTTTAGCTCTTCCCCATTCATGTAAAGCAAATATGAAGTTAAACACTTTCAACATCAATCCTGTACAAGTTTTCAAAATTTTCCATGCCAACATGCAAATAAGCTTCCAAAACCTAAACAGCATTTTCATATAAATAGATGTTAAGTGGTTTTAAATACTTACAAACAATCCCTTTCACACCCTGTTGATAGATTTTTTGCATAATGTTAACAGGAGGGAAAAAAATAACAGGAAAAGAAAAATAGCCCAAAGTGAGCAGCAACTGAAAGCCGTGAAAGAAAACACAGAAAAGAAATACACGTAAATTGTTTGCATGAATCCTTAGTCTCCCTCTTCTTGGATTTTAGCCTTACAGGGTTCAATTTCACACTAAACATAGCAGAGATGGCTGAGACAAATGAGGGAAAGAGTAAATCGTTTAATGTACATTCTAGAAAAAAAAATAACCCCATTCTTTTCTGAGCAAATTCACTTCAACTTCATCTCCTCTGTGGATGAATAAGAACATTTTAAAATAAAAAGTCACCATAAATTTTGATGTTGTGAAAAATAAATCCCCCAGGCAGTTTGTGTAGCTTCAGGAGTAGAAAGCTTCCAAAGCATTTACTCTAAATGTAACAGCAGACTCTACAAGAATACACAGGGCACTAAGTCATAAGTGATTCATATGCACATTTCATGCTTCATCTTTTAGGGTAACTGGGGTCATGAGTGCAATCTCTTGAAAATACAAAGTTTTAGCAAATAAACTTTTAAATGTGTTTTAAAAAATTAAAGGGTGCTGTCTGACTCGAGTTATTACGTAAAACTAGAGAGAACAGAGAGATTTAAGTATGGGACAAACTGACAACACTGGATTTAATTCTTCCTTTTATAAAAATTTAAAATATTCTAAGTGTTAATCACTGAAAATAGAGAATACCATAACACCTCAAGGAATATTAAAATATATTAGGTAAAACTATTTCAAGTTTGGATCCCAAGAATCACAATTACAGACTATGAAGAGTTCCTTGGCAAAACTGAAGGAACTTAAAAAAAAAACATTTTTTTTTTTTGAGACAGCTGTGCCCTCTGGAGGTGGCACTTGGGAATTGAATAAATCTTTCCTAAACCGACAACAGTGACTTTTCTAAAGAACTGAACATGTGCTTGGAAATGCAAAGAAGGCTCAGAAGGTTTCATTCATGTTCGTTTCTTTGTGTCAAACCACTTTTCAATGAATACTAATTTAGAATTTCAATTTAGAAATGTTAAAATGAGTGCAAAACATTTTGGTAGAAGGGCTTAAAATTGGTGTTCAATATCTGGAATACAACGATTAGGGACATGCTGAATATCATGAAAGGAAAGAACAGTAGTTCCAAATCAAATATCCTCAAAACCTCTTCTAGTGAACACTGCATGACAGCAGACTGCCTTCCCCCTTCTAACCGTATTTTCCAACACTCCCTGAGAAAATCGAATCATCTAGACCAGCAAATGCATGTGTTCTGTCTTCTCAGAACAATTCACCACGTCCCGTTCATTTTCCTTTTGTCCTCTAGGTTTTTACTTCATTCCTAAATTTCTCCATCTGGGGAATATATTATTCCAGTAGGAGAAGTAAGAGGTAAGTATTTCTCGTTGGAGTTTTAGAGATAGAAATTAATAAAGTTACAATTTCAATAGACAATAACCTAAAAAAATTAAGGATGTAATTATGAAATGGGGATCAAAAGCTAAACAACCCCAAAAGTAGCCCTTACTTGATACGAAAACAACAAAGCCACCACTTTTAAAGAGAAAATGACGACATCTTTTTGGTTGTGAATCTGCCTTGGATGTGAGTCAATGTTGCACCTCTTCTGTAAAGAACTGGGAAGGAATCTAAAAGGATTGAGAAAGGCTAGTGCGTGCAGCGAGAGTAGATCTACTGCGCATTGGAGTGTAAGAGATTACACGCGACTACCCTGAGCGCACTTGCGCTGACAGGGGGGCTGCGGCAGAAGGTTCTGGAAAATGGATGCAAAGGTCTCCCCGCGGCCGGTTAATTTGGGCCATGCTTGCATCACAGGTTCTGACCACTGGCCCAAAGACAACGTCACTACCCACTTCCCGCGCCCTCGCTTCTCCTCGGAGGGAAGTCAGACAAGGAGCCGGAGTTCTAGAAGCGCAGCCCTGTCGGCTCCCCTCGGCCTCTGGTTCCAGGCCACTCAGGCAATGGTTAATTCTTCAAGTCCTCCTGCCCCTTGGTCGAGCGCACATCCAGACGCCGATTCCTTAAAAAGGCCCAAGACTACACGCCCGAAACTCACAAGTGATGTCCAGATCCCATTTAGGGAGCGGCCCAGCACCCGCAAACGTGAAAGCCAGCACTCGGGCCCCAAGCCAGCGGCGGACCCTCGCCGTGCGCCCCTGCGCATGCGCAGGACCGGGCCCGTGCGCACCTGGGCGTCGCCGAGAGAGGGCGCCCGCGGGCCCGCAGCGGTCCCGGAGGTCCTCCCCGGGCTAGCCAAGGAGCCAGGGGCATGGACTGCTGGGTAAGGAAATGGACGAATGTTTAAGACATGAGGAACTTAAAAAACAAATGTTTAAAAAATTTTTATTTATTTGGCTGCACTGGGTCTTACTGTGGCACACAGGATCTTTAGCCGTGGCACGCGAAATCGAGTTCCCTGACCCAGTTCCCTGCGTTGGGAGCCTGGAGTTTAGCCACTAGAGCAGCAGGGACGTCCCTGAACTTCCTAACTTCTCTGAACCTCAGCCTCCTAGTCTAAGAATGTGGTGATAACCCTAATATCTAAGCCATGTGCTCATGTATTCATTCATTCACTCAAATATGCCTTGAGGTCCCCACATGTTCCAAGCAATGTTGTAGCACTAGGGATACCCTGACAATCAAACTGGAGCCAGCCTCTACCCTCTGAGTGTACATTCTAGTGGGATTAACCCAGAGCAACCTAAATGAGGTCATGTGTGCATGTAGCCATCTTAGCCCAACTCCTAGAACATGCTCAGTCTTTGGAAACTGTTGGGAGTTATTAGGTGTTTGAATCTACATCAACTTCATCCATCCAACTGTGGGGGAGAGGGTTTGTTCATTCCTGGCTTCTCCGGGGGAAAGCACAGCCTTCTCTACCTTAAAGTTAATAGATCAATGGGAATGGAAGGGATCGGCTTCCCAGGTGGCTCTGTGGTAAAGAATCTGCCTGCAGTGCAGGAGACTGGGGTTCAACACCTGGGTTGGGAAGATCCCCTGGAGGAGAAAATGACAAACCACTCCAATATTTTTGCCCAAGAAAGCCCATGCGACAGAGGAGCCTGGGGGTTACAGTCCATAGGGTTGCAAGAGTCAGACATGACTTAGCCACTAAACAACAACAACAAATACCATAGACTGGGTGGCTTAAACAAACGAATTTATTTCACATCATCCAAGGTCAAGTTGCTGGCTGGCTTAGTTCCCAGCTGGCTCAGTTCCCAGTGACAGCCCATTTCCTGGTGTGCAGATAGAGGCCTTCTCATTTTATCCTCACAGCCAGAGAAAGTGATCATCTCTCTAGTTATCTCTTCTTTTAAGGACTCGAATATCTCCATGACAGGCTCTACCCCTTGGAATTACCTTCCAAGGCTCCATCTCCTAACACTGTTATGTTGAAGATTAGGGCTTTAATGTGTGCACTGGCGGGGGGAGGACAAAAGCAGAAGATGCAAGTCATCTTAGAATTCTGCCTGACACAGGAAAGGATAGAGGAAAATAAATCAAGACAGCATAAAGCTATAGAATTGTGCTAATTATGGACACCAGATTCCTATCTAAAATAACCATTCTCTAAAGGTCAAAGAGGCCTCAGTACCCAAAATACCTGCCTTCCATCAGTCTTGAGCCCTCAGCCCTCTGCAACCTTCTCATTCCCCCTCCACCCCCTGCATGAGTGAGTAAGAGCCAAAGCTGGAGCTCAGAGGATGCAGGGTATTAACCGGGGGCCATAGAGAAGAAAGGCCACTAACACCCACCCCATAGTGCTTCTGGCCTGGTGGCAAGGCAGCAGTTAGAAGTGGTGGGAGAGCAAGACACAGCAAGCCCAGCTCTGCCACTGACTTACTTTTTACCTTTCAGTCTAGTCACTGGATCTCTATTCTGACATCTATAGAATGAAAACAGGGGTTCTCTCAGAGTCGTAAGCATTGGATGAGATAATACACATCAGATGCTTTACACAGCACCTGGATGGTAAAAGTAAAATAAATGGGAAAAAAAACCAAAACAGGAAGTAACTCAGAGAAGGAGGAGTTGTTATTTCTCATCGTATCTACTGGGGGCTCAGAATGGTGCTGGGAAATGTGAAATTTACAGATTTCCATAAAGCCGGATGTCTACCATTGACATATATACAATCTAGTGGAAAGACAAACAGATGCCCTTTCATAGAGAGATGGATTATGAGCACAGAAGTTCTCTCTCAAGGACTTTTCACCCAGGACCTGCAAGCATTTGTTCTCTTGTGGTGTTCAAGCCAGGACTTTGGGGGTCTGTGTTGCCTCAGTAACTGGCAGATCTAAGTACCTGCACCAGATCCAAGGGCCCTAAAGTATCACACAGAGAACACCCGACTCACAGGACCCTCAGTGACACTCAGAATCTTCGGCCTACAACCAGAACTGGCTTCATTTTCTGCAGCCAAGTAAGAGTAGTACCAAATGACCCCGTCTTAGAGGAACTGGTGGGGCCAGAGACTGCAAACAATGCTCTATTATTCTCCTACTGCTGCTGTAATAAATCACTGCAAACAGTGACTTCAAATGACACGCATTTATTCCCCTACAATTCTGGAGGTCAAAGGTGTCACTGGGCTGAAATCAAGGTATCGGCAGGGCTGTGCTCCCTCTGCAAGCTCTGGGGAAGAATTTGTTTCTTGGCCTTGTTCAGCAGCTAAAGGCTGCCTGCATAGCTTGGCTCCTGGACCCACATCACTCTCATCTCTGCTTCTGCCATCCCACCTCCCTCTTATAAGGACCCTTGAGGTTATCTGTGGGCCCACCTCAGTAATCCAGGATATTCTTCCTATCTCAAGATCCTTAATTTAATCATATCAACAAAGTCACTTTTGCCATGTAAGAATTTGTGATATTCATTATCATGGACTGGGGTGGTGCTATGTATGGATTTTTAAATTTGCTTTATATACACTGTTTTATATACCAGTACTCACAAGTTTGCGGGGTTAGGACACAGACATTTTGAGGGGCCACGGTTTTGCTTATCAACAAGTGCCTATTTCCCTGAGTCAGATGCCTGTATTTTTCTCCTCAAATGGTTCAGGAAAAAACCTTTCCTCTCTAACCTGATCAAGCCTACAAACAACCTGGGGTTTAAACACATTTTCATTGAAGCAAGTTTGTTGACGTTTAATAAGAAAAAAGTGCTGTGCTCCGGACATCATGAGAGAATGTGCTGTGTGCTCAGTCGTGGCTGACTCTCTGCGACCTCATGGACCGCAGCCCACCAGGCTCCTCTGTCCATGGGATTCTCCAGGCAAGCATACTGGAGTGGGTTGCCATTTCCTTCTCCATTACGAGATAATAATTGGTCAGTAAAATCTGCTTTTAAGTGCAACAAATCAGCCACCATTGAATAAGATTTGAAAAGAGAACCTATATTTTAGGAGAGTTCTAGCAGTCTTTACTTCAATGTTTGCAAATTGTGATGCTCAGTAACACCTGTGTTGCCCTACTCCATTTCCAACTATCCTTTAAATTGACTTGATACTGCATTTTTTTGACAATTCAGTGACAGCCACAAATTACTTCACTGTTACCATGGTAACTAAGGGACCTCCAAAGAGAGGAAAAAATAAGATTAAAAGGGGAAGGACTAGTCTAAATTGGCATTATTGAAACGTTGTCCAAGTGTAGTCGGGTATCAGTCGGTCAAACTTTGGGAGTTTTTCCCAGTAAGGGCCCCCTGAATCAGTCAGCCAGCAGGGGAGGCTGCTCCTATGAACAAGAATGCTTGTCTCCTGCAAGAAGCAATGGTTCAAAGTTATGGAACCTTCTACTCTCCCTTACTTATGCATCTCTTTTATTTGGATCGTCTTCTTTGTTTTTCATCTCCTCCTGCTTTTCCCCTTCTGAACACATTAGTTACTATGGAAACATTGGAGTGAATGTCAGAAAGCTCAGCTCAGAAATGCCTCATAAAGTCAATTTATAGAATGGTCTGACATTTATCTCATGTTTGGGAAATTTAAAGAATTTATGATATTCATGACCCTGGATAGGGGTGGGTGGTAAATATTGTGCTATATATGGATCTTAAAATTTGTTTTATATACACTGTGAAAACATCAGGTTCTGTCTTTTTAGGGGAAGAATAGCAACAAAAACAGGAATCTGGTTTGGGATTTGAAATTGGATTCATTTTCCATCAGTTGAGGAATGATTTACACTTTCTAAGTTTATAAGGCTGACTGGAATCTCTTGGGTCAAAATAAATGCTTTCTGGAAAAAAAATTATGGTTGGCTTATTTTTTAAACTTTAATCTGACAATAAAACAAATGGCATTTCCCATAATAATGTACACAGGGCAGCTGCAATATTAGTTAAAGGCACAGAAATGTTAATATCCATGCTGTAAAAATTCCTACTTCACCATGGGGAATTTCAGAGTTAGTGTTACCCTATGGAATAATAATAATAATAGCTAAAGATTATAGCACACTTACTGTGTGTCAAACCCCATTCTAAATGCTTTACATATATTAATTCATGGGGTCCTCAAACCAACCTGGTGAGGTAGAAGCTACCATTACACTTGCTTTACACACAAGAAAACAAGTACAAAAAAAAAAGAAAAAGAAAGAAAACAAGTACAAAGAGGTTAAGTAACTCATCCAAGAAAGTGGGTGAAGCAAAGATTCAAATGAAGGTAATTGGGTTCCAGGCTGTATATTCTTATGGTCTGATGAGGAGTTCAATTTAGAGTCAATTTTGATTTTAGACTTGCAGGCTCATATATATTTTGGTACATATAAAAGACTAATAATGTTTTGCTATATAATCAGCAGGAAAGTTATATGATCAGCAGGAAAGTTATATATCAGCTGATCAAATCAACTGATATTAACTCCACTGTATTCCATCAGAAGAATTTTAATTACAAAGGAAATCCAGTGTCAACCCATGAATGTCTACATGAATGCTTTGCCACCCAACATTCCCCATGTCTTCTGGCAACAGCTCCCAGTTTTTGTGTGAGAAAATTCCACCTGCTCAGTTCATGTGCTTAACTCTCCTGATGCCAAAGTGGATCACACTTTAGACCAATCATCCCACTTTATCTAGACCAATCATCCCACTTTATCTCTCTGACCTCAGTGACAGATGGCATGTGACCAGATCAGAGCCAATGAAATGCAAAAAGATTTTTTCCGGGAATGCTCCAACAGGAAATGGGGCTTTTTTTCTTCCCTAGAAAACTTAACTATGAAATGACCTGCCCTAGCCATCTTTGTCACCATAAAAGAGTTGGCTTAGAGCATAT